CCAATCCATCCATATGTTTAATCTTTCCTTGTGAGGACACTTTAGCTACACCTGTCCGCTACTCTGCTTTGCTCAATATGCCTTGGGAGTTGTTTGCTATGATGGTTGCTAATCATGTGGATCGTCGCCCACCCATTGTCAGAGAGGGGAATACTAGCTTGCTTAGTCAGAGATTTAGTTCATTGTGGGCAATGGAAGGAAGAGTGGGGGAAGAGAAATTATCCACTGTCGAGCTCCATAGGAATTAGGAGAGTTGAAATGCATGAATCTAAATTTGAAATACATTGAGTTGGGAAAAGATTTGAAATACATGGAGTTTAAAGCAATGAAATGCACAAACTTAATTATATGTATTTGAGTTAAATTTAATTACGTACTTATTTTGTGAAAACAAACAATAATATTGAATTTGAAGTGGCCAAATTCAAATACACTCCCTAAAAATCATGTTCCCAAATATACCAAAGTTTTCAGTAATCGAGTGAATTTTGTATTTTGTTAGATGCCAATTTTATTAGGAAAGTGTTTGAAAAAATATTGGATGAAAAGTTGAAAAGTCTTGTAATAAAGTTTCATTGAAATTTTGTTAAATTGTTAATTTCTCTGTATTTAGTAAGAAAATAATATAAAAAAATTAATAGAAAAGTTGTCAAGCCCCACATAAGAAAATTGGGGGAAGATTTTTTCTCTTTAAAAAGTGTGATAAAAAAATTTATTAGTTAAGAATTGAGTTGAAAAAATAAAAATTTAAAATGTTGTTTTAATTTTACCCTCTTTTTATTATATTAACACCTAAAAATACGTAATTGTGCATTAGATTTAAAAGTTATCCATTAGCAGCTAGGGTTTATTTTCTCTTGCATGATAAGAGTTTTCGGGCACCGTTCATCAGTGGTTGATGGCTTTTCATTTTGAGTATGTTCTATATATTACCCTTGTTTATGGTTGCTACTATCTCAACAACTGTTTTGTGATGGAAAGGATTGGTGTGATGGTGATAATGGAGCACATGGAG